ACTTGAAATGCCAATTTCGGATCTTCTAGACCAACACATCTCTCTTTTGAACATAGCGTTTGCATCCTTGAATCCCAGTCCGCAGTGTCGTCCAACAATGAAGAAAGTTTCTAAGCTCCTCTCATCAACTCAGAGGCTGCATTTGTCAAAGCCATAATTACATATGACTACATGTGGTGAATTGCTTGCTCTTGATGGTTTCACTGCCTGTCAGGACATATGCTGCTTTTCATTTGAGTCTGCCTTGTTCTAATTCTTCTTAGATGTTTAGATTATTGTAATATATTTCATGCCCACGTCTGTCTTTTGGCTTACGCTTTAATAAGGGTTATCGGTATTTAGAAATGTTTTTCGTAATGTATGTATGTTTTGCCACCTAAAAGAATATGAATAAGATGCTATTAGCCCAACCCTGTCGAGCATTCAGTTAAAACTTCACTCGCAGTGCTCTGTTTTAATGTAAAGAATAGTGATTCCTCAACAATTAAAAAATAAAAATAGTGAACGTACACTCAAAATACAACAAACTCATAACTTAGAGCATTCAGTTAAAACTGGGAACAGCTTTGGACTTGAAGATGACCAGCCAAACAAATGGAATAGGGAGTTGGAATAAATTGTACACTGGGAACATACAAGCAAGAACATTTTGCCGGATTCTAAATGAGGCATGTGTTTTAGTCTCTGGAACTTGGACTCAACTAATTGGGTCGCCATTGCAGTAACATATGGATAGCTAGCTTTGGCATCAAGAAGCAGGGGAAGTCTTCTCTCTTGTTGTGACGATAATACGTTGGCATGAATGTCAATCCACAACCTCGTCTAACAAGTTTCTCAGCATGGGTTTTTATTACAGGTGCTATGTTTTAAAAGTTCTTATTTTAATCCTCAAACGTTCAAATCAATCAGTAGGTCCTTTATATTTTAGTCTCACATCAATTTGGTCTTTGTTGTCACATTCCAACAAACTTTATTAAAATTGGTCACATATCATCACCTGACCAACTTATTACATCAAAATATAGCTCAATTTCGTCCTAGAACTCAAATTTTTGCTCAACAAAATCATTTGCTTTCCATTCAAGGTTTCATATTTACGTTTCATCAAGGAGAGTACACAACTTTGTTGAGCAACATATGTATTTTTTTTTTCCTTTGTTCTTCAGGGTTTCAATTTCTTCATCCAAACAGAGGGTTAAGGATCACATTGATTGATTGGAAAGTTTGAGAATTTAAATGAGGACTTTTGAAAAATTCAAGGACCATTCATGACCAAAACCCTTCTCAGTATCTTTCTATTCGGAGAGGCTGCATTTGTTGAAGCTTGTTACCTATGATATACCATATGACATAGTGAAGCATTCAGGTGGGACATTGTTATAAAAAATAATAGTTTTCCTCTTTCCGTAAAGCCAAATACAAAATATTTATATTATAAATAACATATAAACAAATTGAAAAGCTTTGAAGGTATAATGAAATTGAAGAAAACAAAATAATAGGGAAATAAAAGGAAAATAAATAATAAGTAAGAAGGTGAGTTTGGTACGGTGAAGACGATGTCCTAAAGCCTTTGTAGCCTCCCTACGTGCAAGTACTAACGGTCTACAAGACTCCAAGATACGATCCCTTGTACACAAACTCAAGATCAGCTATGAGCACGTTTATAGACAGATATAGGTATCCAAGTCACATAACCATTGCCCAAAATAATAATAATATAAAGTAGAGAATATATGTAAAAGTAGAAAAGAAGAGAATCAGAATGTGATATATGATATTCTAATAGTGTACTGTGTGTATCAAATGTGAAGGAGGAGTGGCCTTTTATAGGCATCCAAAACATGTAACCTTCACCAACCATAAAAGTTCACCAACCAAAAAATTAAGGTATTCACCAACCATAAATAAAACATGAATATTAAATATTTATAACGCCTACAATAAATAAAATAAACCAACCAAAATAATTAATTAAATAAAACGGTTAAATTTTTAAATCCTTTTAAAATTCCAACACTTTTGAACCCCTATGCCACGCAAATAGTAACTTCTCACTTTCCATCAATTTAATTTCAGTAATTCTAATATGTTTTTCTCCCAAAAACATCAAAGTCGAGGAACCCCTTGATTAGAGAAAAGTCTATGAGAAAGTTGTGCATGCTAAAAAAAAAAAAATCGAATTAGTTTTCCTGTCATGTGCATTGAGTTGATTGGCTCATTTAATAAGAAATCTTGTTCTTGACTCATGGGGTGTAATAATAGATAGGAGAAAACGGCATTCAAGTATCAACCTCATTTCACTAAAGTTCAGCAAGAACATGCAAACTTTCCAATTCTATCATTACAGATAACAGACAAAGACTTTGACTGAAGATATATAGAGATAACCGTGTGCTGATTTCCTATATTTCAATGTGTCAAGGTTCTAATATTTTTTAGTTAGAGAAATTTACAATCCAAATAAGAAAAAATAAAAATGTACAAAGCTAAAAAAACAAAACACGCCGCAGATAGAGCAACAACCTCAACCCCGGCTATTGAAATCCCTCTTGAATTTGTACCTAATTTTCATTTTGCTCTATAATTATTTTATTTTGAAATTAAGGATACAAAATTTCGTCATTTTATGACTAAGTAGAACTTGAAAACATTCCAAGCCATGTTAACACCAGATCTATGCATAATATTACTCTAATATACCCACACACAAAAACGTTATTATTCTCTCTATTTTTGTTATAAGTTTTTTTATTTATTTTATTTTTCAGTTTTTAATTATTTATAAGATACAAATTGACCAATTTGCCCTCAAAGTGCCCACATGGTATCTTTTAACTGTAAAATAGTTGGAATGTAAGGAAATTTAGCACTAGAGGGTAGATTGACTAAAAAAAATGTTTGTAACCTGAATTTTCTCAAATGAAAAAACAATGGGTAAAATGAAAGTTATGTAAAAGTTCAAGGAGAATAACTGAATTTTTTTTTAAAAAAAAAAAAAAAAAATCTGAAGAAATAGGTTTCATTCAACTACAAAGCAAGCAAGCAAATAAATTACTGATGTCTTTTGTGTTGATAAATAAAAAAATTAAGTTGACTATTAATTTGAGGTGTAAGAATCAGTTCTTACACAACTTAATCAAGAGCACAAGCAACAGGCTCTCATACAAATTAAGTTGACTTTGGCACAAGGAATAATCAAAGGCTTCACATAGCCTTTTATTGAACATCAATGGCAGGAATCAACGGGAATTGGGGATGAATTAAAAAAATTAAGTTGACAATTAATTATCGGTAGTCGGAGGAGCACAATAATCAAATGAATTTATCCAATAAACGACAAAACAAGCCATCAATGACCCTCTCACTTCTAGGGGTGGGCATCAAAACTGGAATACCAAAACCATCCCGAAACCATGCCAATCTTGTGCCGTTCCCGTTTGGTGTTTAAACGGGATGATACCGTGTCATCCCGTTACTGTTTGACACGACATCGGTTGCATATTTGTGATCCTGGTTGGTGTCATACCGTACCGAACAGTAAATTAGTTTTATTAATCCTAATTTAATTTGGCTTCATTTGTTTTCTAAAAGCCTATGTGAGATTTCTGTTCTTGCTTTGTAATTTGACATGTCTTGAACTTGAACTCTTGATTGATTGTTTGTTTTGTTTGTATTAGGCTTCATTTGTTGTAAAAGTCTATATGAGATTTGATTTCCATTTGACTTGAAGTTTGTATGAGATTTTCATTTCTTGGTTGGTCTTGAATTAAGACTCTTGAATCTTGATTGAGGGTTTAATATATGTCTCTCTTGAATCTTGGTTGGTCTTGAATTAAGATATGCAGCCGTAAATAAAAAAGTGTTCCCTTTATATCATGCACACACAGCTGACAAATGAACTACTTTGAAGAAGCTTGTTTAGTTTGCTCCAATACCTTACATTTACATTTACATTTACACACACACACATATATATATATCAGTCCCCTTCTATTGAGGGATCCCTCAAATAATTTTATTTGAGGGACGCCCTTTAGGGTACCCTACAGTTTTTTTTCCAATGATCCAAACCATCTATTTTTTAGGTCTTCATTCATAGATCATCCTTACAAAAAAATTAGACAAATCGGAAACCGTTTCGACATCTAATTGGGTCCTACAAAATCAATGAACACGGTGCTTCAAGAAAGTACTAAAATTTTCAATAACTCAATTGAATGATCAAATGATATCGGATTCGAATGATTTTTTGTAGAGATGATCTTTGAATGTGTATCTACAAAATAGACGGTTTGGATTAGTGAAATACAATCCGGAATGGGCCCTACAAAGGGTGTCCCTCAAATAAGCTTATTTGAGGGATCCCTCAATGGAAGCTCTCTGTATATATATGTCCTAGTAGAGAGGGCATCTGGTGAGGTAGAACATATGTATAGGAGATTAAAAAAAGAAACTTATACCACCCGAGCATGCATGGAGGATTTTTAATATTATTTGAATATAAAACGGAAAATTGATTAGAAATGTCTTGTGTTTCACCCAAACATAGACACTGTGATTTTTTATTTTTTATTTTTAAAATTGTTTTTCCTCTATTTTTGTTTATTGATAAGAATAGCTTGAAGCATTATTCAGTACTATTAGGTCATTACACTACAAGAAAAAAGGTCAATAATAACCAATTTCCTTGTGACTACATGAATAATGATCACAAATACAGTGAAGTTAATAACCAATAATACTACATGGTCAGTAAATTGATTGAGGCATGTTTTTTAATTTTTAATGACTAAATTTTCTGACCAATATTTAAATTAGTCATTGAAACAGCTTAACTTAGAAAGTTAGTGACCAACACAAATGCTAAAGTAGCCTTACTTGTGTTATTTAATACATCAGTGACCAATTAACGTTTTTTAAATTTAGATTTTTCTTTTTCAAAACACGCTCATCGCATAAAAAAGAAAAGAAAACGACGCGAGACCAGAGCGAGAGATCTGAGCGAGCGCGCGATCAGAGCGAGAGATTAGAGCGAGGTAGATTTTGTGTCCTTAAATCAGCTAGGTTTTCGTTTGGTACTCAGGCAGAGTTTGATTTTAGGTTCAATTTTGATTTTAGTTTTGATTTCTCTTTGAATTTCGATTTTGAGGTGTGATTCCAAAAAGCTTGATGCCCTAACTTCCTAATCTGTGTTGCAGATGTTTCGATTTTGAGAAACGACCTTGAGGCTAGTGAGATCGTATTCTCGAAATCATCTCGAAATCATACCAATTTTAGCTGTTTGTGGGCTGAGTTTGTTCCTTAAAATGAGTACTTAAGATCATCACTGTTAGTTTGATTCCTGTTGTACTATTGAGGGTTTGCATCCAATTACTATCAGAAGGGAGTTTCGATATTTAGTTGATGTTGATGCGTAATTATTGGAATATTCAAGATCAGGGTACTTTTTCCAATACAGGGGAACTACCAAAGGAAGAATCTAACAGTGTGTTCTCTGAAGACGAAATGGTTTATAAAGAGCCATCCATATATGATAAATTGTTAATGACGCTAGGGTCATCTAGTAAATCTGTTGCTGCTGCATATAAACAAAGGTAACACTCTTCTCAAAGTCCTGAATTCAATTTCAGTGTGTTAGTGTGTACTTACTGTATGTAATTAAAAGAAATTTTGTGGCCCCAGTATTAAGAGTACATAAGGCGGTGACTTTTGGTGCCCCAGTATTTATTGTTTTGGCTCTTGTATTCACTTATTAGCTGTGTCATGCTCCATTCAGCCAGATCTAAGCTTAGGATCTGAATTTTGGTTTATAAGGTTCCTACGCGCCTCTAGGAGTCAAGTACTCCTTTTGAGGGTGTACGCTAGGAATCAGCTGTTTTGTTTTTTTTTTAAAAAAAAAAAAAAAAAAAAAAAAAAAAAAAAAAAAAAAAAGGCCCTGCCGTCCTCTGTAACTCATTAAGGAATTCATTTTTTGTTTTTTGTTTTTTTTATGCTTGTTTGATGAGGTATGTCAACACTTTGTGCTTAAGAAAAATATAAAGCTCAACCAAGTTGGATTCACAGCTGAGCTACATTTACGTTTAATTGATAGCAATGTAACTTTCTGGAGATATTATTTGGCAGTATAATTTATATGTATGCTCTTTTCTGAATGTCATTTATTTAAGAAATTTATTCAAGAAATTTACAAGTAACATGTTTTACTATCCACCATTGTGTTTATGCTCTTTTATTGTCAGGTTAACTTAATAAACAACATGTATAAGCGCAAGCCAGCTTGACCTTTTGTCTTGTCCTTGTTTGTTAGCTTTCTCTACACTGCATGTTATTTAATCCTTGTAATGTTTGTATGTAGGAGTTGATGATGAATTTCCTATGAAAGGAAAACCCACCTGAAATAGCTGGTATTGAGGAACAGAGTGAAGATACTGAAACTGAGGATGATCTGGAGACTCTGACTTGAATGACCAGGAGAGCTATGACTCGGGTGTACATGACCTGAGAACCAGTCGTCCATGTGCTGTTGAAGAACCTAGCCGCATTGACTTGTTTCAGCTCACTCGATTTAGCACAAAGAAAACAACATGGGTTGGCGAAGATGCCAAGAATGCTTTTGTAAGTCTTTATTGCTTTTGAGCTTTTTCAGATCCTTTGATCTTATTGTACATAAACATGATGTATATGTTATGTTAAATTGATGTCTGATGATGAAATATATGACTCAGTTCTTTCTAACGTTGTTGGTCCACCTATGTCGGGTTATATACATGGCTTAGGAGCAGGTTCGGAACCCAAAACATTTGAAGCCGGACAATACAGCCATGCAACAGTTGAGGAGGCTAAAAGGAGGGCAGATGAGGCAACTAAAAGGGCTAATGATGCAGAGAAACAATGTATGCTTCTAGCAAATGAGTTATTTGAAATGAAGGAGAATTCCGATGCACAAAAGTATCAGTTAGGAGGTTTATTGACAAGGCAGAATGAGACAGATGCACTAGTAAAAAGATTGCTGGAGCAGTTATCCTCGACTTCATCATCAATGAGGTTAGCTTATAACTCTCATCTTACTACAATACAATTTTTGCAAACTGCACCAATATACTAATTTCCTAATTTCCAGTTATCCTCTACATCATCAATGAGTTCCTAATTTCCAGTTACTTCAGACAAGTGACAGATAAATTTCAAGCAACTAATTAATTAGAGATGTGCTAGCTAGATCTTGAGTTTAATTATTCTTGCATTTAGTTAATTCCCTGTTGAGTGCATCCCAAGTAAGAACTGACATTATTCTTTGTTTGATGCAGGTTTGATGGATAAAGGGCAGAAGACAATCTACTAGTGATGAATCTTATGTTATTTGTTTTTGGGAATCATTTGACATTTAGGTTGAACTTAAATATGTAGCATTTTGTTTTTGAGACATCTTCTGAATTTGTTGGAAGAATGTTAGATATATGGATACCTTTTGAATCCAATGAATTATTTAATGCTATAAATTTTATCTACAGCACTGATTAAAAGAAATTAATTGTGATTTCATATTGTAATACAATAAATAAAGAACATGGAGAGGTAAACATAATTAATTACAATTTTTTTGAAATACATTAGTGACCAAGAGGTCACTATGTGGGCACGTGACCCAGCTTCAGTGACCAAAATGCATCCTTTGGGGACTAAATTTTAAGCCCTTTAGGCCATCTTTAGCCATGGGCTATATCCTAAATATAGCCCTAAATTAATGCAAAACTCATCTCCAACTATGGGTTAAATAAAATTTTACAAATTTATAAATAAACCCAATCCTAGACATGTATTTATAAAAAAACTCAAGCACTATTTAAACATAGAAACACACCCAAAATCAACCCCAAAGTCAACTTTTTGGGTGTGTTTATAAATGGATTTTGAGTGTGTGTAATGATGAGTTTTGGGTGTGTTTATAAAGTGTTTTGGGTGTTGGGTTTTTTTATAATTTCAACCTCCATTTTGGGTGTTTTAGTGAAACTCCCATAAAATTTTGGCCAAATTTGGAGGGCCACATTTGGCCCTTTAGCCCTCCAACAGGGCCAAATGTAGCATAGCTTTGGCCTAGGCTAAATTTATAGTGGTTCCCATCCATGTGCTTTTCAACAACCAATCATTAAAGCACTCTCCACTCCCTTTTTTAAAATAATAAAATATGAAGGATTATAAAATATAGCCCTGCATGGCTGGAGATGGAAAAATTTAGCCCTACACTATTCTTTAAAAAATTAATATTTTGAAGGGCTAAATTTTTAGCTCTGGACTACATTTAGCCCTATGACTGGAGATAGCCTTAGTGACCAAAGTTGTGGTCTCTAATAGCGTTTTTATTAATGACTAGACAGGGATAGCCACTGATTCTTTGTGTTGTAGTGACTGATAGTTGACATTGGCCACTAAATAGAATTTGTGACAAGCTTCGAGTGATGACCTTCATCTTGAGCTAGAAGACCTTGGAGGTGCCGGTGAATGTCGAAGGGATGAGCCGCGAGTCAAGCAGCTTGAGAATTCCATTGCAGATCGGTCTCTCGATCTTGGATCGTGGCGATGTGGTCGTCCTGGGGGGGGAGAGAGAGAGAGAGAGAGAGAGAGAGAGAGAGAGAGAGAGAGAGAGAGAACAAAAAAGGTATAATTGTCATTTCAGTAATTAATATAACCGCCAACAAATTTGGGCCTCCACTTTGGCCAAATCCAAAACAAAATTCAATTCCTAGGTATTAAAACCAAAACCAAAATACTATTTGTCTCAAATACTAATTAGTAAGGATAATTATATCTAATACCTATTTTTTCTAGATCATAACATAGTGAGAAACAATATTTCGAACAACAAAGAAAGTGTTCTCTCTATTTTTATTATAATTATTTTATTTTTTGTGCATATGTTTTTGTAATTTTATTTTTCAGTTTTTAATTATTTATAAGATATAAATTGACCAGTTTGCCCTCATAGTGCCCACATGGTATCTTTTAACTGTAAAATAGTTGGAATGTGAGGAAATTTAGCACTAGGGGGGGAGATTGACTAAAAAAAATGTTTGTATCCTGAATTTTCTCAAATAAAAAAATAATGGGCAAAAGGAAAGTTATGTACAAGTTCAGGGAAATTTCAAAACTTTAGCCTTTTTTTTTTTAACACTCCAAATAACCGTGTATTTTGTGTTGATAAATTAAAAAATTAAGTTGACTATTAATTATGGGTAGTGGCATCCGAGGAGCACAATAATCAAATGAATTTATCCAATAAACAACAAATCAAACCACCAATTACGCATGCCTATTCCTGTGTACAGTAAATCAAATCAATAAACGACAATTTCATCTTCATTTCCAACTTTCACTGAAAACTGAAAACAATTATAGAACAACTTATAAACAATTTTCAATTAATCTTTTATTTGAAAATTGAAAACAATTACGAAACAAGTTTCATATTTTTAATTTTTTACAAATTAAAATTGAAAGCTAAAATGGTTATCAAACGAGCCCTTAGGATGTCACAAATGTTAAATCAAAATTTTGAATAGTAAATTGGAGTAAAATGTATACAACTATCATTACTTTGAAGGGTTTAGGGTTTAAAACACATTCAAGATTTTAGGCTAATCACTTGTGGAATGCTCATGAAATCATGTCATATAAGCCACAAGTTAGCTCATAATAAATTCACCAGGGACTAAACCTGGATAAAAGTGCAGATTATGACACAAACAGTGCGTGAAAGTCAAAGCGCTTGAATCAAAATTTAGAATGTCACCAATGTTATCAAAATTTGAAAATATTTTTTATCACCATTTTAACACAAGGTGTATCCTAACCACTATTCTCAACACTTGATATGTATCTATGGGCATAACCATAGTTAACTCTTTGATTTGTATTTGTGGAACCAACTATAATTATACCCATAGACACATGTCAAATGTTGAGAAATGTAATGATGATATACCTTTAGTTAAAGTGGTGAGTAAAAATACACTCATTAAAATTTAGGAAATGGGACTAACATGTATACAACTATCATTACTTTGAAACTTATTCTTCACGTGATGACTTAGGTCAGGAAGAAAGAATAAAAAGAAGGATGGAAATGAATGGCGTGGATGAAATTACATTGACGAGTTATTCCTCTTCAGATTTGTTGGGGACAGCTGGAGTGGATTAATTTTTCCAGTAAAGCAAAGCAAGAAGCATGTTTTGTTTGAATTGTTCTAGTCGTGACTCGTGACAGGACTACACCATTTCCTCTGTCTGGCTAGCACACTTCCAGGGTTAATCATGCTTTGAGAAAATGCAAAAGTTGCAATTCCAACTTTAGAAAAAAGGGACAGAGACTTCCAGTGTGAAAACCCCAAACCGTTGTTACTTAGAAATGTTTTTCCTTGTGAGAGGGGAAAAAAAAAACAATAATTTCATGGTCCAATGCGATGGTTTAACGTTTTGTATGTATAATGTGTTTTCGGTTCTAGCCACAGTGGAGGAAGTAAGTCAGTGGGAGTTTTCTTTGGCTTTGTGAGAGAGATGTGCAACTTTGTAAGTTTGGGTTCTTCAACCATAACTTTTCACTGATCTGTTTTTTATGTTTTGCCAAAGACTCTTCACTGTTCTTTACTCGTTACTCCTTGAAAGTCTTTTTTAGAATGTAGATATTTGTAAAGTCGCATAATTCTTTTGTTCTGAAATATATGTAGGGCCACAACGACCCAGGTGAAGTGACAGCCACTCCCAGGTCTCCTTGGCCTTCTGTCAAGCGCATACGACGATCCACCAATAACATCAATCAAGCTCTCACTTCTATCGATTTCATTCCATTCAGTTCCAACACAAAATTTCCAAAGAGACGAAGACTCTGACTGCAATCTTTCAATTAAGAAAATGAAAAAAAAAAATGGAAAGACCTTTCCAAGTCTTGAACTTTGAAGACTTGGATTTTATTGTGGAAAAGAGAATAGGCCACATAGTAAAATCATGAGACTTGGATTTTATGACATATCATTATGCTCTCTAGCAGATCTACACAAACAATATCTTATAATGTAACAATGAAATCTTTGACTTGTTATAAAGTATGCTCTCTAGCTTATTGCCTTCTCTTGTATGTTTAGCTTCTTTCATCATCAACATCACTAGGTGATTTGACACACCTCACCATTCTCAATTTTTCGCTCAACAAAATCATATGCTTTCCATTTAGGGTTTCACATTTAGGTTTTGTCAAGGAGAGTACACAGCCTTGTTGAGCAACATATGTATTTTTTTTTTTCCTTTGTTTTTCAGGGTTCCAATTTCTTCATCCAAACAGAGGGCTATGAATCACATTGATTTATTGGAAAGTTTGAGAATTCAAACGAGGACTTTTGAAAAATTCAAGGACCATTCATGACAAAAACCCTTCTTGGTATCTTTCTATTCGAAGAGGCTGCATTTGTTGAAGCTTGTTACCTATGATATACCATGCGACATAGTTTCAAGCATTCAAGTGGGACACTTCTGAACCCTTATGTCACGCAAATACTTTCCATAAATTTCATTTCAGTAATTCCAATATATTTTTCTCCCAAAGACATCAAAGTCGAGGAACCATTGATCAAAGAAAATTCTATGAGAAAGCAGTGCATACTAAAAAACAATCATAATTGAATTAGTTTTCCAGTCATGTGCATTGAGTTGAATAGCTCCTTTAATAAGTTATCTTGTCAATTCTTAGTTAAAATCGATGAACACGCTCATTTTAAGGCCTCTCAAACTCTCAGTAGCAGCCAAGTCAAGTGATAAAGACAACGAATATGTAGGTTTCTATTTAAACCCTGCAAATCTCCAAGTTCAACCAACAAAAATGTTTTGCACATTAATGTCTTAATTATTTATGGCATACAAAATTGTAGAAAACAAATTTAACCTCAATTACGTCGTCTTGGGCAGCCTCTGTATATGAAATTTTATTAATAGGATTATACTTGAATTTAAATGTGTTTAAAAAAAATTATTGTTGGGTGAGCATGAATATTTACATGGTTTAATTAAAATATCTACAAATATATGATAGAAATCGTTTTCTTGACTCATGGGTCGTAATAATAGGAAGGAGAAAACGGCATTCAAGTATCAACCTCATTTGACTAAAGTTCAGCGACAACATGCAAACTTTCTAATTTTAACATTATAGATAATAGACAAAGACTTTGACTGAAGATATGTATGCTTCTTTCCAATTTTTCAATGTGTCTGGGTTCTAATATTTTCTTGGTAGAGAAACTTTATTGAGACCCAACAATCCAAATAAGAACAAATATAAAATGACCAAAGCTATAAAAATAAAATAAACAAAAAAAGTGTTTTCTCTATTTTTATTATAATTATTTTATTTTTTGTGCATATGTTTATTTTATTATTATGTATAAGATATAGATTGACCAATTTGTCCTCAGAGTGCCCACATGGTATCTTTTAACTGTAAAATAGTTGGAATGTAAGGAAATTTAGCACTAGAGGGTAGATTGACTAAAAAAAAAGAAATTTGTATCTTGAATTTTCTCCAATGAAAAAACAATGGGCAAAATGAAAGTTATGTACAAGTTCAAGGGGAATAACCGATTTATTTTTTTTATTTTTTATTAATAAAAAAATTTGAATAAATAGCTTTCATTCAACTACAAAGCAAGCAAGCTAACATATTACCGATGTATTTTGTGTTGATAAATTAAAAAATTAAGTTGACTATTAATTTGAGGTGTAAGAATCAGTTCTTACACAACTTAATCAAGAGCACAAACAACAGGCTCTCATACAAATTAAGTTGATTTTGGCACAAGGAATAATCAAATGAATAATCAAAGGCTTCACACAGCCTTTTATTGAACATTAATGGCATCGGTAGTGGCATCGGAGGAGCACAATAATCAAATGAGTTTGTCCATATAAACGGCAAAACAAACCATCAAATGAGTTTATTTCATTAAACTATAACTATAACTATAAAGAACGAAAGACAAAGACTTTGACTCCAGCCATTGTAAGAACAACCACTGAGACCAGGACTTTATTACAATTCTAATAATGGCAGCAAGCTCACTCAGGCATTCAAGTGGGTGGGACACCTATGTCATTTCATTATTTCATCCAGAAAATTCGAAATTGGCATTTAAATTTAGAGAATGAAAGACTTTTCATTACTTAAAAGAAAACTGATTATAGATGAGATCCGAAAGATTTTTCAATGCTCAACTGAACCCCAAAAACTAACCCACACTATATATAAGTAGTAAGGCACGACCCATGCAATATATTTATACCACACAAACAATAACCATGATATCTTTAACTTCTGCTAAACTATGCTTCCTCCCTTATTGCCTTGTCATCTTGTTGTATGTTTCATCACCAAATTGGGTTGCCTTCCCTTCTGCTACTTCTACTTCTGATACTGAAGCAAAGGCTCTTCTCAAATGGAAAGCCAGCTTATTTCCAAATCAAGCCCTCAATAACCTCACCTGGTACGACCCTCCCATTCATAATATTAATGTCACCAATTCTTCCAACAGCAATCCAAAACCAAGAACAAGCCCATGCACCTGGATTGGTGTTTCATGCAACGCAGCTGGAAGTGTCAGCAAGCTAAACCTTTCCACTTGTGGTATTCAAGGTACGCTACATGAGTTTTCATTCTTGTCCTTCCCTAATCTTGAATATCTTGACCTCAGCTTGAACAAACTTTTTGAAGCCATCCCACCTCAAATCAGTAACCTCTCCAAACTCCACTATCTTGATCTCTCTTGGAATAACTTGTCTGGGAGAATCCCACCAGAAATCAATCTCTTGAGAAATCTTACCCTTCTTTGTCTCTATGACAATAAACTTTCTGGTTTGATTCCCAAGGAGATAGGGAGCTTGAAATCTCTTGTAGATCTAAGGTTGTCTTACAACAATTTAAGTGGTCGCATCCCTCCAAATGTTGGTAGCTTAATAAAGCTAAACACTTTGTACTTGAATGACAATCAACTTTCTGGTTCGATTCCCAAGGAGATAGGGAACTTGAAATCTCTTGTAGATCTAGAGTTAACCTACAACAATTTAAGTGGTCTCATCCCTCCAAATATTGGTAACTTAATAAACCTAAACACTTTGTACTTGGCTAACAATCAACTTTCTGGTTTGATTCCTAAGGAGATATGTAACTTGAAATCTCTTGTAAATCTAACGTTGTCCTACAACAATTTAAGTGGTGTCATCCCTCCAAATATTGGTAACTTAATAAACCTAAACACTTTGTACTTGCATACCAATCAACTTTCTGGTCTGATTCCCAAGGGGATAGGGAACTTGAAATCTCTTGTAGATCTAGAGTTGTCCTACAACAATTTTAGTGGTCCCATCCCTCCAAATATTGGTAACTTGAAATCTCTTATAGATCTACAGTTGGGCCACAACAATTTAAGTGGTCTCATCCCTCCAAATATTGGTAACTTAATAAGCCTAAACAATTTGTACTTGCATTTCAATCAACTTTCTGGTTTGATTCCCAAGGAGATAGGGAACTTGAAATCTCTTGTAGATCTAGAGTTGTCCAACAACAATTTTAGTGGTCCCATCCCTCCAAATATTGGTAACTTAATAAATCTAAAGTATTTGTACTGGAATAACAATCAACTTTCTGGTTTGATTCCCAATGAGATATGGAACTTGAAATCTCTTACAGATATAATATTGTCCAACAACAATTTAAGTGGTCCCATACATCCAAATATTGGTAACTTAATAAAGCTAAACTATTTGTACTTGCATTCCAATCAACTTTCTGGTTTGATTCCTAAAGAGATAGGGAATTTGAAATCTCTTCTAGATCTAGAGTTGTCTTACAACAATTTAAGTGGTCTCATCCCACCTGAGATTGGCAACGCAACCCAAATTCATGTGCTGGACCTTTCTTCAAATCATTTAGTTGGGTTGATCCCAAAAGAATTCGGGAAGTTGTCTTCGTTGGTGAACTTGAGGTTGAATGGAAATCAACTTTCGGGTCGTATACCTTCGGAATTCGAATCATTCAATGATCTTGAATATCTTGACTTGTCAACAAACAAATTGAATGAGTCAATTCCGAGCATTCTAGGTGACTTGCTCAAATTATACCATCTGAATTTGAGCAACAACAAATTATCTCAAGCAATTCCATTTAAGTTGGGGAAGTTAGTTCAACTGAATGACTTAGATTTAAGCCATAACTCACTTGAAGGTAAGATACCATCAGAAATGGGCAGTATGCAGAGTTTGGTGACACTTGATCTTTCCCACAACAATCTTTCAGGTTCCATACCATCAAGTTTGGAAGAGATGCACGGCTTGTCGTACGTTGACATATCCTACAATCACTTGGAAGGTCCCCTTCCCAACATCAGTGCATTTCAAGAAGCTCCCCCAGAAAGATTGAAAGGGAACAAAGGATTGTGTGGCAAAGTTGGAGCTCTGCTGCCACCCTGCAATGCACATGGCTCAAAAAAGGATCACAAGTTAATATTCTCTCTTCCAGCGATATTTATACTTCTATCTGCTTTCTTTACAATTGTCTTTGTAATAGTGCAAAGAAAGAAGAAGCATCAAGATACTAAACAAAACCACATGCATGGAGAAATTTCCTTTTCGGTTTTAAATTTTGATGGAAAATCAATGTATGAGGAAATCATAAGGGCAACAGAAGATTTTAATTCCACATACTGCATTGGGAAGGGAGGACATGGAAGCGTCTACAGAGTGAATTTGTCATCTGGAGACGTAGTGGCCGTGAAGAAACTTCATCTATTATGGGATGGGGAGACAGAATTTCAGAAGGAGTTCTTGAATGAAGTAAGGGCACTTAGTGAGATAAAACATCGAAATATTGTGAAGCTCTATGGTTTCTGCGCACATAAACGACACTCGTTTTTGGTGTATAAGTATCTTGAAAGAGGTAGCTTGGCCGCAATGTTGAGCAAAGATGAAGAAGCTAAAGAGTTGGGGTGGAGTAAAAGGGTGAATATTGTTAGAGGCTTAGCTCATGCCTTGTCTTACATGCACCACGATTGCTTGCCACCAATTGTACATCGTGACATCTCAAGCAAGAACATTTTGTTGGATTCTGAATATGAGGCCTGTGTTTCAGACTTTGGCACATCTAAGTTTTTAAATCCAAACTCAACCAATTGGACTGCCGTTGCAGGCACATATGGCTACATGGCACCAGGTAATATTGTGATTCCATGTTCTTTGTCTGTAACACTTTTTAAGCTTTTGCTTTTAGACCAATGCTTCATTTTCACTTGTTTGATTTAGAAAATATAACTATTAGATATTTTTTTATGTGAATGATGATGAAAACTTCTCTTATTTAATTATTTTTCTTCTTCAACATCCAGCTTTTAATTCTTTTTTTTCTTCACCGTCCAGCTTTCATTAAGCTATCTTTTTTAGTTCTGAAAAAGAACCAAATTTCCTCGAATTTGTAGGTTGTGTGTTTCAATGAATTATTAATTTGATTGGGAAATTGTGACTTCCTCACTGTCTTTTTTCTGAGAAGCAATGTTTTGAACACTTCAATCTGAGTCTCTTATTATACGTGTGTACAATTGATGCAAGATACAATTTCTTCTATGTGCTTTTTCTGAGCAGAGCTTGCATATACAATGGAAGTAAACGAGAAGTGCGATGTTTATAGCTTTGGAGTTGTCACACTGGAAATAATTATGGGAAGCCATCCAGGAGATTTTTTTTCATCTTTATCATCAGGGGCATCATCTTCGTCCTCATCTGCATCATCTGCCCCTGAAATGCCAATTTCGGAAGTTCTGGACCAACGGATCTCCCCACCCACAAAACAAGAAGCAGGGGAGGTGGTCTCTCTGGTGAAGATCGCATTTGCATCCTTGAATCCCAGTTCGCAGTGTCGTCCAACAATGAAGAAAGTTTCTCAGCTCCTGTCATCAACTCAGAGGCTGCGTTTGTCAAAGCCATTACATATGACAACATGTGGTGAATTGCTTGCTGTTGATGGTTTCACTGCCTGATCAGGACATGTGCTGCTTTTCATTGGAGTCTGCCTTATTCTAAGTTTTCTTAGATGTTTGGATTATTGTAATATATTTCATGCCCACTTCTGTCTTTTGGGTTATTAGTATTTAGAAATATTTTTCGTAATGTATGTATGTATCAATTTGCCCTGTTAAGCATTCCATTAAAACTTCACTCGCAGTGCTCTTTTTTTAATGTACAGAATAGTGATTCCTCAACAAAAAAAACAAAAAAAAAGGTGAGCGTGCACTCAAAATACAACAAAATCATAAATTAGAGGACCGATAAAGTGATGATTCAACATTGAAAAACAAAATGAATACTTTATCTAGGATGTTTTAAAGTTTGTTTATCCCTGTGAGGGAAAACAAAATGAAATAAGACAAGGGGTTTTGTTTAGTAATTTTACGTACTCTGTGTAGCAGCAAATACAGACGAGAATTTGAAATTGTAAACCACCCCAAAATCATTAATAAACAATTCAATTGTGAAAATTAAATGACCAAGACCAATATAGCAGGAACAAATATAGTATTTGACGTGGCGATAATTGTAAGGGCCATACTGTATTACTATATATGGATAGCTACCTACCAAACACCATATATATAATAGAAACAGAGAGGTTCATAGACCAGAGCCATTATCGATTTCGATTTTCGGAGAGAGAGAGAGGGAGAGAGAGAGAGAGAGAGAGAGAGAGAGAGAGAGAGAGAGAGAGAGCTATAGTGACGATGTCGACCCTTAGAGTTCCTCCCGAATCCGAAGACTGAGCAGCTAAAAAAGGCCTTCAAAGGTTCCTTCTTTATTATTTTTCTGATCTTTTACTCCCTCGCATCATTTCTTGTTCTCATCATAAACCACCCCATATTTTGTAATTGGCTTTATGATTGATGATTGATCTATCCCATTTCACCGATCCGATTGTTGGTGTTAGATACAACGTAAATGATCTGATAATGTAAAAAGGATCCTTTTTGTTTTTTGTTTTTCATTTCGTTCTGCTAATTCTCTTTTGACTCTCTCTGTCATCAATGATCAGATGCATCAGATTTGTGTTTTGTGTACATGAGGTTTGGTGGGTTGATGAAAGGGGCACCTTCTATAGTGCACCAGGTGCACCCATGCACCATTTGTCCTTTATGATGCTTTCATAGTTTTTAAAAAATTGGTTACTGGTTATACAAGTTATTAAGTTTCCACTTTTTGAAAATGCAATTGCACAAGGGTCATGCAATTATGCCCTTCCTATTTGGCAATTGGCATATGATTGGATATGTTATTTTTCAATTGAGTTTATTCTTTTTGACTCACGATGACATGCTTATGAATTTCGCAATGGTATTTGTTTGCTTTTATAAATCTAAAGTTACCGTTTTAGACTCTTTTTTTATGAGAACTGTTTGACTTTTTTTGTTGTTATGATTTCGATATGTCACCTCATTGTAAATTAAGGTATTACAGTGTTATGGATTAGGATAGACTATAATATTGTTACAATTATTTCAATTATTTCATAACATTTGCAGATTTGTTCATGATTCATGAGTTAGGGGTTGCTTTATATAACTTGTAACCAAAATCAATAAAACTTAGGTAACTTTATATCAATCCAATTGGCCCAATTGAAATTGTTTTTTTTTTAACTTGTAACCAAATACATTTTTTGAACATCTAAACTATTCTTTTTGTTTTGTTATTTCTTAAATGTGAATAAATTACTATAAGGAACTAAAATACGACTACATAGTATAACTCGTTTACGTGTTTAATATCAATCAATGATAAGATATTCAACTTTTAAGACATAATATCAATAAATATCCACTTATATTATAATAAATATTATATGACATACTCTGAAGCCACACTATAATTACTTCTCAAGATGACATATTATTATATAAAAATATATATGTATTTGTGCTTATTCTAAAAATAACTTTAAACAAATGTCTTATAACAAAATATGACTCATGGCATCATCCAACAAAATTTTCCCTTATGATCCTTCTCTGTTATTTGGTTCATATCTTCGTAATATAATTGGTTCATGTTCTGATCAATAAAAAAATTGTTAAATAAGAATATATAATAATATAATAATTAAATAATATATGTGCACTTTATAATCAATATATAATATATAAATATGATATTTACATATAATATATACAATTTCAACTAAAATACTCGAAATTTTATATAAGTATGTAACATAACAAAATACTAAATGAGGTAATGAAGGGGAAGAAAGTGATTGAGTTACCATCTCATTTGCTTCTCATGTACGAAATTTTAGAATTCAAGCTAATTCTAAAATAATTTGAGAGAAATGTCTTAAAACTAAAATTATATATTATTTCTCGAATATGACTCATAGCATATTCAAAATATGCTTTTACAAACTTATTTCTATGCCTAAACAAATAATTTCATGTTCCCACAAAAATTTATCTTATGATCCTCCTCTGATTTTTGGTTCATATCCTTGTTATATAGGTTTCCCCTTTCCTATCCATAAAAAAATTGTTTAATAAGAATATCCACTCATAAATATAGTATTTACATATAATATGTATAATTTCAACTAAAATACTAATTTATATATATATATGTATTTTAACATAATAAAATACTAAATGGCGTAAGAAAGTTACCAATCCCCTAATTTCCCATGTAAATCCCCATTTTATAAGGACATAGATCAACATTACAAGGAATTGGTAAGTGTGGACCTTAAGAATATAAAATGGGGTCCTTATTCTAGCAAACATGATGGTTTACAAGACTAAGGACGTGTATTACAGTAGTTTAGATATAAAAGTACCATAACATTGTAAGAGAATCCTAAAACTTATAAGTTACAAGATTTGGGTAGCGATTTACAAGTTTTTGAACTAGGATTACAACATTAGGGTTCATCTAATCCATAATGTTGTAAATACTCATTTACAAGGATATGGATCCACATTACAAGGAATTGGTAACTCCAGACCATGAGAATGTAAATTGGATCCTTATTCTAGTAAAATGAGGGTTTACAAGACTAAGGGCCGATTTTACAATTTTAGGACACGAGGGTATCATAACCTTGTAAATAGGATCCAAAAACATGTAAGTTACACGATTTGTGTAGTGATTTACAAGTTTTTCCACCACGATTACAACGTTAGGGTTTTCATAATTCTTAATGTTGTAAATCCTTATTTTACAAGGATATGGATCCACATTACAAGGAATTGGTAAGTGCAGACCATGAGGATGTACATTGGGTCCTTATTCTAGTAAAATGATGGTGTACAAGATTAAGGGCCGATTTTACAATTTTGGGATACAAAGGTACCATAACGTTGTAAAGAGGATCCATAAACATGTACGTTACACAATATTTACAGGTTTTTGCACCATAATTACAACATTAGGGTTCTCATAATCCTTACCTTTGTAAATCCTTATTTTACAAGGATATGGATCCAAATTATAAAGAATAGATAAGTTCAGACCATGAGGATGTAAATTGGGTCCTTATTCTAATAAAATAAGAGTTTACAAAATTAAGGGCCGATCTTACAATTTTGGGATATGAGGGTACCAAAACGTTGTAAAATGGATCCATAAACATGTAAGTTACATGATTTAGGTAGTGATTTATACGTTTTTGTACCACGATTACAACGTTAGGGTTCTCATAATCCTTAACGTTGTAAATCCTTATTTTACAAGGATATGGATCCAAATTACAAAGAATAAGTAAGTCCGAACTATAAAGATGTAAATTGGGGTCCTTATTCTAGTAAAATGAGGGTTTACAAGATTAAGGATTTTGGGATACGAGGGTACCTTAACGTCTTAAAAAGAATCCCTAAACTCGTAACTTACAAGTTTTTTGTAACAATTTACAAGGTTTTGCTCTTGGATTACAATGTTAGGGTCCACCGAATCCATAATGTTGTAAATTAGCCTTTTACATGGATATGGATCCATATTACAAGGAATTGGTAATTGTGGACCTTAGGGATGTAAAATGGGTCCTTATTCTAGTAAAATACTTATTGGAGAATTTTCCTTACATTTTGTTTATCATTGTGAAGAAAAACAAAATTAAATAAAACAAGGGTTTTGTTGAGTAATTTTATATAATCTGTGTAAACCGTCCCAAAATCAATAATAAACAATTAAATTGTGAAAATTAAAGGGAGTTTCATTATTATGCCCAAAATAGGGGCTGAAATTATAAAAACAAGACCCCACATGGAATGCATTTTAGAAACACACCTAAAACCAATTTACTACATAAAAAATGGGCGTTGAAGTTCCTATAAATTACATGATTGCCACTGATTAACTTTAAAAAAGCCAACACAAAAAACTCAAAAAAAAAAAAAAAAAAATCCAAAACGATCCCAACCCAAATTTTTAAAATAAACCCAAACAATTTATTTATAAATAAAAAAAATTGCGAAAACCAAGCAGGGGCTCTTCATAGAAGTACATTGTTAATACTATGTCATAGAACTATCTTGTTAATACTACTACGTCATAGAACTATCTTGTTAATATTACTATGTCATAGAAGTACATTGTTAATACTCTATCTATAACTATCTTGTTAATATTCTGTCATAAAAGTACATTGTTAAACAAAAATAAGATCCATAACTAAAATAGTAACAAAAGATAAATCGATCATCAAAGCTTAAAATACATTCACCAAATCAACTAAAATCCGAAGAAAAACACATAATTGAAGCAAAAGATAAAAAATTCCAAGTCCAAACCAAATGACAACGACAACGCAGCGAAATCCTCGTCTTCCTCCACAACTGAGTCGTTGTGCAGTACTCTGGAACAACCGAAGAGGTCCTCGGCTGTCGTTTTCGCGCTTCTATACTTGAGAGTTTTTTTTTTAGATGAGTATAGTCGTGCGGCTTTTACTGGGGTCCTTTTTCTTAATTTTTTTAAAAATAAATAGAGTATAGCCGAGCGGCTATAGGGTATACCCGGGCGGCTATACTACGGTTTTTTATTAGGAAAAAAAAATAGTATAGTCTGGTGGCTATACTGTTTTTGAAACGTGGGTCCGAATCTCTAGCAGGTCTTCTTCTTTTTTTCTTTTTTTTTATAAATAGTA